GCATCCCCTTTTCCTTCTCGTCCTTGACTTCTTTCTCTGCCCTCTTATGAACATACTGGTTTCCCTTACCCACTTTCTTCTTCCTCCAGTGTTGTACATCTCTTTCTTACCTGTCTGATGAAATAAAAATGAAAATGACAAACTGCGAAGAGCAAAAGACTTTAAAGTGCCCATAGTTCACCAGAGTATAGGCATATTGGCAAGTTTAAAATTCTTATGACAGACCTTCAATATGCATGTCATTATCCATTTAATTACAGAGGTTAGGTACCTAGTAAGGGACTAGCAGCGAGGAGAGGTTCTCTCAAGGGAAGGTAAATAGAATATCCTGTTATTCCCAGGGAGCCCGCATGGGGCCAATATAAGCCCTCTACATATATGTAACAGTTGTGTAGCTTGGTCTGTTTGGGAGACTCATATAATGGGAATGGGGACTGTTCCTAACAATTAACTGGCTCCTTAGGAACCTATTTCTCATACTAAATTGACTTGCCCAGCCTAAATGCAAGGGGAGGTGATTAGTCTTTCCAAAACTTGATATGTCATGCTTTGATGATATATATGGGATGCCTGTCCCTTTGTGCATAGAACAGAGGAGGAGTGGATGAGGAGAGTGGGGGAAGGGGAATGGAAGGGGAGGAGGGAGGGAAAACTTCAGTTGGGTTGTAAAATTAATTAAATAATTAAATGTTCAAAAGACAATATGTTGTTATTGTGAGATAGGGGAGACAAGATTGGGAGAATTGAGGAGTGCCCTGCTCCCTGAATCTGGTAGCACCCCACTCTTCCATCCCTTTCCACCGACCAACCCAGGAACGAGGTGAGTGAGCCTCTGCCCTTACCCAAACCCCACCCAAACCATCACTCACTCCTCACCCCGACCACCTCAGGCCTGCGCCTGCCTGCTTGGGGTAGACATGCACAGACAAGGAGGAGCTCCCCGAATCTGGAAACACCCCACTCTCCCATCTCTTTCTGCCAACGGATCCACAAGGAGTGAGGAGACAACCAGGAGAGGCAAGACCATCCAGAGCTGTAGACATTGAATTCCTGGCCCCCACACACCACTGAGTCACAAGAGGAGACAGAGAGACCCCATCTGCACCCACTAAAAGAAGATATGGGAAGAAGACAGAATAAGATTTCACTCAACAACAGAAAGACCAATATGACACCACCAGAATCTAGGGATTCCACTCCAGCAAGATCTGAAAAACCCAACACAGAATATGAAGATGAGATGGACCTCAAAAATTGTCTCAGCAAGATGATAGAGACCT